CCTCCCCCCCGTTCTTCATCGTCTCCCTCTTCTTCTTTTTCCTACGTAAATGATTTTAATTACACGTCGGAGACCGATCGGACAAAATCCCCAACGCTTGCTTTCCCGTCTCGCACGTATTACAATTAATCCGTTACATTTACCCTAAAATGCAATCCGCGTACCCACGTATTTAAAAAGAATCAAGTAGCGTTCGATACAACGTATACACCCATGTTTTTTTCCGTTTTCTTTTTTCTTCGCTAGAATAGATTAGGAGACAATTACAGTGTGATCTTTACGGACGAAGCGATGAAAATACCCATGCAATCTCGAATACTGCTGATAAAATTGTGGTTTTTTGCTTTCGCCGCCGCTATTCGCGTCGTGTCCTGCAACTGTTTAGGGTAATGCATTTTTTTTGCAAAGAAATCGCGATTCGCTTCTAATCCGAAGAATTTTCGCGCGTCAGTGTGATCGCCAAATTTGCCACGAAAAATTCCATTTGCCGCGAAGGAAACATAGGTACTTTCACGCTGCAAAATACATTTCCACACTCGATATACTAGTTAAGAGACATTACGAATTGTACTAATTTTTCTTTTGCTACGTGATACATCATAATATTAAAAAGAGGAGCGAGTTAAAATGATCGTTATCATACTTGTTCGTTTTCCTTTTTATAAGATAGCACAAATTATAAGATATTTTTCCCAGACGTTCTTCATCGTTATTATTACCGAAGAAAAAAATCCGCCATCTCGCCTACTTATCTCACCTATTTAAACGACCTACGTCGTTTTATCTTTGTTCCGACGGTTTAAAATTAGGCCCAGAGCAGCCGGCAATTGATTTTAATACATCACGTTATTCGCTTGCCTTTGTGAAAAACACATGCTTAATACGAAGGAATATACAATACAAATACCAAAGAGATGCCGCCTCTTTTTTCTCATCGAGATAAAATTAAAAACTAGCATAATTATCTACTTTATACAACATTTACTACACACATGTCTTTGATAAACTAATCTTTTACTTGTATAATTCAGTTGTTGGAATCCCGATTACGCCGTAAACTAAAAATCCCGATCAACGCCATAAATTAAAAAAAAAAAAATCTTCACTCTTTCAAAATGGAAAATTTGTTATGCACTTAGACATTCAATTGTGCCGTGAAACGAGATCAATTTTACTATACTCTACAAATATTCATAAAATATTTACGAATAATAGTTTTTATGCCATGAACTTACGTATCTTTCCGATCGTGTTCGGTGCCGTTCACACTGATTTAATCCTGCTTTGTGAATCAATGCGACCATAATTACATTGTTTATCGCACACTATAAAAACTTAAAAGATAATTTATGAGATCTGCACACATACAATTGATATACGAAAAATTTAAGTATTTTTGCATCTTAATGAACAATTTTGAAAAATTATGAAATTATATACAAAGCATGATATTGAATGCTGTATAACGCGGTATTACAGAATACCAATATATGTGCACATTAAATTATTTAATATAAATTTTCATCGTGTATCTTTCAAAGTAAAAAATAAAGTTGTATATTAATTGCAAAATCCCATTGTCATATTTACAACACATACATAAGGAAAATTATATTTATATTCCTAATATTTGGAAATTAACTATTGCTGTGAGAGAAATAAAATTAAAGAATTATATACAGCAATAAAAAAAGTCTTTCCTATGCCGATAAAACTTTTAGCGAATCAGTGTATATCTGTGTAAAGTGTTGTAAATATAGATTGCACGCTTTAATCATTTGCATCAAATAAATCGACGAAAAGTAAAAATTGCAAATGAGATAAAGATCTGGAGATAGATATTTAACGTGCAAGTACATTTGCACTGCAATCATGCATTCAAAATATTGCCTATTTTATATTATCGTTAAAAAACTGTCTAATAGATTTTCTACGATAACTAAAATAATTAGAGCCTACATATTTTTTTTCTTTTTTTTTGGTAGCTGCGACTAAGGATAATGATATGAGAATATAAGCAAGATATCATGCGAATAGAAATGCAGTGGCGGAAAGAACGCGAAGAACATTCGCGTGTGATTGTACATACATATATATATATATATATATATATGTATATATATATATATATAAAAAGAAGAAAATTCTCTCGTGTTCCTCGGTGGCAACTGAATTAACAAGTAGTAGATTGTGATACAGAGCACATATACATTAATCGGACTCGAACGGATACCTAAAGTGCGGGGCGAATGTTGAAACTGATCTCACTTGATGTTATGACAGACGTGTGTGATGAACATCATTACATTATATCATACTTACAAATACGCCCGCTATAATATCATCTATAATATGTTTTCTTGTTCTCCTTATATAACATTACCATATTATCAATATATACGTGGCCAATAAGAACAGATTTGTACTTGCATTGAAATTGTTTTAAGTCGATCACTCCAATCACTTCGCACAGCCCAGTATAGCATGTATGTTTTTCTTTTTCGTTTTCGTTTTGTTTAAAAATACAATTTTTTTTCTTTTTTTTTTCTCATTGTGTGGATGGCAGCATTCTTATCAAAAGGTTGGCTTGGAGAATGTTGTAATGACATTTAGGAAGGGGCGAAGGGAGGTTCCATTTAAAGGTATGTGTCTCTCTCTCTCTCTCTCTCTCTCTTCCTCTCTCTCTAGTACACCACTACTAGTTTCATTTACTAATAAATGTGTGAATTTGTTCCAATTGTGTTAAATGTCGATATCACAGAGGCTTCTTGATCGGAATATCGTCGTTTTCATTTTCTTCACTTTTTTTTTTGTAGGAAAATAGGTATCTACACATATTATGATGGTAAATAGAGAGGTTACAATAATCTTTAGGCGTGGGAGTAAGATAGCTCTTAAAAATGCAATACACTATACATGGGCTAGCTAAACGCATTACAACACGGCTCCCTTCACCTGGTCGTTAGAATTGTGTTCGTCGGTATCTCGTCGACAGCGATCGCTGTTGGTTGAATGTGCGGCAATGTATGGAGTATTTGTGTGTGTGTGTAACATATTCGCTATTGTAGTAAGAGTAATGCGAGTGATATTGCTAGAGCCAGAAGTAGAGAAGAAGTGATGCAAATCCTTTTTTTTTTCCTTTTTTTTTATCTTCATTACTGATTCCTTGTCTTCTTATGGTTACTTGGGCCTAGATCGCAGCGGCTGCTACCTGCGTGAGATCAAACCGTTGCTTGTTCCTACTGTCGGTGTCATCTCTAATTCCACTAACAGAGGAAAATGATCTGAAATAAGAAACGAAACGTCATCTTTATTATTCTTGTCTTTATTAGCAGAATGGAAAATGGCATAAAAACGTAAAAACTCACCCGATGGAACATGGGGATGAGGACATCCTACCACTTTATGCTCTTTAAACCATTCTGGGCTCAACGGGCCCAGAAGGCCCAGCGGCACCATACTTTGTTTCGAATAGAAAATGTAATCTATTATGCCTTTAAATTCGAATCTACGGAAGCGTAAAACAAACGCGTTAAATATCCGTACACACATTGTATACACATATATAAAATATTGCAACAAAGAAATAACAAGTGGACTGTACTTACGTGTAGTTGGTGTAGGGCATAATGTCCTCGCTATAGGCGGATGCAAGCTTGAAAGAATGCGTGAATTCGTTGGGTTTATCGCAGCCAGAGATCTTTTGTAAACACGATTTATATGCTAAATCCTTAAAATCACGATGATCAGCCGCCACACGTCCAGATGTAAGAAACTCAATCACACCTGCACCAATGATTTATTACTGTCAATTTCGTGTTCATAATCGCATAGACATATTTATTAGAGACTATTAAACAACGCAACAGACAGTTCAAAGAAAAAATTTAAACGAGATAAGCACAAATAGGCGTCTCACCAGAATCAGGTAAAGAATTAAAGTCGCCACAAAGCAGCAGTTGAACGTTGGAAGAGTCAGGCTTGTGGCCGGGTCTGAACGACTGGCCAGCTTGGTCCAAAATGGAACGTAATTCATTGCTCAGCATCATCGTCTGTATTAGTTTTACATCGCAGAATTCAGGATCCCAATGGATGTGCGCCGTACAAACTAAAATTGGTTGTTGCACTTGTGCCGGGTCAGATGGAACACCTGCAAAAAATAAAAAGATAATGCAAGCCGTGTTCAGAACAATTTTTCACGCGATCGAACAATTTTTCAGAAGCTTATATCTTCCAAGTGGAAATTTAGGAGGGAAAAGAATTGCCTGGGAAATACAAGGACAATGATTCATATATTGGATATTTTATTTGAATATGTTACACTCTTACAGTAATATTATAAAAATATATGTATATCGTGTCGCCAGCGTAAGTTTATTACAATATCTCTTATATCGAGAAATCATTATTTTTTTTATCGTTATTAAAATTTTATAATTTGCATATTTATACTGCTGAATTAATCATTTTAAAGTTCAAATGCTATACGTAGTTAGATTATTTAATATAAATTTTCACACGTTGTATGCTAAGTAAAAAACATTTTTAATCAAAAATAACTAAAAATAAAAGCCATAAAAATTAACAATATTAATAAAGATATATGTATAAGTATTATATTCTTGAAAATAAAAAATATTTTATTTTGTAAACTATTCATTGTTCAATAATTATATTAATTAAATTATAACCTTGCAGTCTACAGTAACAATATTTGGACAAGGATAACACAAATTAATATCATAAACTTTTTATTTAGAAATTGTAATAAATAGCTTAATCTAATGTTTACACAAAACAAATATGCTCATATGTCACCGCTCTTGAAATAAACATATTTACCAAAATATGCTTATTAAAATAATTTGAAAAATTATTAAAAATGTCACAAATTCAATTAAGTGTATATTCTGTAGCTGCTGTATCAATGACATAGTTTATTGTTATTAACGGTGCAATTACAAAAAATATAAATAAGGTTTGCTTCATCATATATTGATCATTGGCACCAATCTGTGAAAACAAAATATAGGGGTACTTCTTGCTTAGATTCGCAAGGTTTACCTGACCAAGTAAAACTGATGTATATACAATTCCTTAAGGATATACATTTGATTCCTTACTTAAAATATAATTATCAACGTAAATACACCATAGAGAAGCAGACATGGATATGCTATGAGTAGCTTCTGGTCCTCTTCTCCCGACATAGTGGAGAAAAGTCTAGAAGCAGAGAGGGACGCCCAAGCGACAGCCAGGACCGCGAGAATCAAGCCTGCCGGGCCTCGCAGTGTAGTGAAGACACCGAGGCCCGCCAGAACGACCACCGGTAACAGGCAGTAGCCTAGTACAGACGCAACGGATGACAAAGTGATGTTACTGCTGCTGCTCATTAGGGATTGTAGAATGTACATGAGTATGCAGGAGGTCATGGCCAGTCCGTATACATAGCCGAAGTGTGCCTTCGAACCAGCTAACAGAAGGAACGCCGCAAGGACCAAGCAGAACGCCACCGGTCCCGCCAAATCCGAGTCCTGCAGCAGGTAACTTGCGTCGTCAATCTGTCCCTTCCTATGGAAGGGATTCAATACAGCCAGAGTTTTTTGTATTATTCGATCGGGATCGATGCCGAGTTCTTCCAGCAGAGGCGGCTCGTCTTCTTCGTCCCCGAAGCCAGTGGTGCCTGAAAGAGTGCCATAAGTGTTCTCCAAGGTTTCCTACACAACTGATAAATTCAATTCTCGAGCGGATGTCTTGATACATCAAGTACAACAAGTTCGTTCCGATGTGCGACAATGAATTTTCACAAATGTTCATCGAATCATATTCAAGCGGCACGCAACTTGCGTGTCTACATTGTTTTCAACTTATTGTCAATATGCCACGTATCTACGTGTCGATGTTATTCCACCAGCTCGAGAGTCTGATGATCACGAAACGCGCTGTCTGAACTCTCTCTACCTTTCGCATAATCGTCCTGCGTGAACAGATCGCCGCCGTAGGGGCTCTGCGTGGGATCCAGGAAGCTCTTCTGCCCGTACGAGTAATCGCCGGGCACTTGCTCGTACGTCTGGAACTCGAATTGTTGGTTAGGTTGGCCGAAACCGGACGCATCGAAATTGAACTGGCCCTGCGGCGGCGGCGGCGGCTGTGCCCAATAACTGTTGTCCTGATTAGTGTATCCGGACATCTTGTCGTTATTATCGTGCTTCTGCTCTTCCTCGGGGAATTCTGTTTTTTTTCTGGATTCGAGCGACTTAACACACCCGACCCGTCGATCGACGATGGAGGTTAGCACTTGGAGGTTAGGTTGAATCACCAAATCATTACAGCCGAAATAATGTCGACATAGCAGCACGCTTCTTTAACGATACTAGGTAAAGTAACAGTTTGCTTGTATCATATATTTTGAGAGGAAATATTTCTCGAAGAAAAAATATTATTCTCTTCTTGAAAAAATAAACGTATGTATATACGTCGTACTGTTTAAATGAGTGTTCTTTAATACTCTTTTTCCTTCTTATTTTTTTCTCGTTTTTTCTATAATCATAGTTATAAAGTCAATTTTCTACAAATATTTCTTCCTTTTCTACAATCTGTTTCTTTTGTCTCTTGAATTCTCCTATTTCTATTATTTACTTGGGTTTTGTTTCTTCTTTCTCTTCTCTTCTTTGGCGATAATTTTAAATATACACACAATCACATAATTTAACAATAATTTAATTATACATTTAAATATACATGTAATAATTAAAAGGACTTCAAAAGGCTTTCATTTACGCGGAAGCTCATCGTCTTTCAGCACGATTCGCAATCTCTCCCTTCGTTATTAATTGCAAGGGTGATTAAGGTGAAACGGGTACGTGATACTTGAGTATCAAGTTATCAGTATACAATTAGAACATTCATCAGCGTTAAGAGAGTGTAAATCCCGAATCTCTTCCGTTCATAGCCAGCTCGGCTCGGCTCTCGAGCCTGTAATAAGGCCCGTAAATTAGCGCCGCTGATACTCTCCTGTTGCGCAATTACAGCAGATTAATGCCGTATTTATTTTCCGGTGCCGATAAATTCCGCGCCGGCCGGCTGGAAATCGCCGGGCTAGAAAACATTTTGCCGCATCACGCGCGCGGAGTGTTCCACAAACACAGAGAGGATTTCTTTTTTTCAAATCTTCCTCTGTGAATCCGTATTTTTAAAAGAATGACAATGACGAAGAGCCTTTCATTACCGATTCGCGACACGTAATCTCCGTTTTTTTTTTTAACATGAATTTACGTGTGGCTCTGGAAATGGATTCTTCAAACGCGTCAGAGTCAATAACAAGTCTGGAGTTAAAAAGCTTCGTGATTTCACGCGCCCTCCCTCCTGTACACGATCCTTTCGCCCCCGAGCAGATTGATATCTCGCGATTCAACCTTTACGGTATATTAACTCACTCGTGACTTAAGTAATTCCCGGCACGTGATAGGAAGTGAAGTTGTTCGCGATGAAGGAGATGCTAACGGTACGATCCTGAGATGGTCATTCGAAATTAACGCCTGAGTGCGTCCATTACCGGAAATCGACGTGTTAACCCGTGTTACTGACCTTCTCAATCGATTAATCGTTCTGTGGAATGATCGCTCGCCGCTTTCGATGACTGTTGAAAAAGAAAAGGATACTTATACGTATGTGAGCAAATTCATCTTCCCTGATTAGCTAATTATTCGACAATACGATTGAAATAAAATGTCGTGTATTTTAAATATAAAATTGTATATCGTTACACAAAAATTTAACGAACAAAAGCAAAAAATAAAGATAAGATATAATTTTTAAGAGAATTTAAGAACTTAATTTGTTTATTGCATTGGATTAGCTCATAAATTTGAAAGATATATACTTTATTTTATTGAGACACTTTAAGTCTTAAACTCTTCGATGCGATAACCATTAACCTAAAAAATCGCGATACTTTATGTAAACTTTTTAATATAACTTTCAAATTCTCCGAGCAATCGACTTTAATGCAAAAATCGCGACCGTCCCCGAGGATTAAACAGCTTTCAAAGTTCTTCTTCATTGCTCTTCGAGGCGACGCCGTGGCGATTCTTCTCCGGCTCTCTCCGGGATTATCGGACGCAAAAATCGTTATTTAATACCCCCGTGTGAAATCCAAAGGAGGGAGAGAGTATATACTCTGTCCTCTCGAACAATATCGTAAATCCACCGTTTAATTGCGCCCGCGAGGATCCTGCTTTTACTATCGAGGCCTTACAGATTAACCCTACTCAGACCAGCTGTTTCGCCTTGCGTTCCCAATCTCTTCTGCACTATGCATGGTTCTTTCGCGGGTAACGTCCCTCAAGAATCATCTTGTCCCGCGCGAAGACAAACGGCCAGCTCGGAAGGAAAAGAAAATTATTACACCTCGCGATTAGCGTTTTAATAATTAAAGCTCTCTGTTGCATTTCATTACTTATCTTTAAGGGGGGTTTCACCTTTGCCGGCCGTAAAATTAGCCCTTGTTTCATGAATTTTTTTAAGGAAACTGAGGACTTGATTCTTTTTTCCTCTTGATCCTAATACTTTAATGCATGGCGTGAACTAAAATCATGATTTTACAACAAACATTCAATTTGTTATTAATAAAAATTTTACAAATTTTTAAAGCAAAAAAAATTTTTTTTAAATGCTACCATTTTTACAAATTTCAGGCAGTTGACACCATTTTAGTTCACGCCATGCGTTAAAGTATTAGAATCAAGAGGAAAAAAGAATCAAGTCGATATCTTAATTCGTTTTTTCGTTACTTTCATCAGCTCAAAAAACATACCACATTCAATCGCCACTTGGAGACATTAAAATACAATTTTATATAAATAAAAAATATTTTTTTTGCTGTTCAGATAATATATAAGTTTATGCAAAAACTCGTGTTTTACTGTATATAATAGATTTCCTTAAAAAAATTCATGAAACAAGGGCTAATTTTACGGCCGGCAAAGGTTAAATCCCCCCTTAAACATGTTATTAATCGCTTGTACAAAGAGTAATAGAAACATTTATCACGCGCCAAACGAGTGGGCATATATCTCTGAATCGCGGACAACGAAATATTCTTCTGCTGCCTCACACTCGCGGTTCATCGCGAGAAATATTACACATTCAGTTTCATGTTGCGTAACGCGACGAGATTAGAGAGTCGGTAATGCGGCCGCTCGCGCGCCATACGGCAATACGGGTATTCCGGAGTGTAAATCAAGCTAGATTAGAATAGAGGGTTAAGGTGTGCCTTCGATAGCGGTTGTAGCGACAATCGAACTCGCGAACCCGCAGTCGCCAGGCCAGGTCGAGCCGGGGGCCGTCTCGTAAATTACTGAAGGAATCAATATCGATTCTCTCCCTCTGCCACCGAATACCCTCTGGAGAGTAGAAGCTTTTATACAAGGGAACCTGCAATTCTGCGAATTGGCTTTTACGAAGAATCACAATCTGAGGCTTCGAAACTCCTAAGTGAAACTCTAGTAAAAAAAATTACATTGATGTTTATTATTTGACACGTTTAATAATAATAAGTAGAAGTTTATTTCGATCATTGGTAAAACGTTAAGAAAACATATTAATTAGATGAGAATTTTTCACGTGTTCAAAATGAATAGAAATTGACTATATACCGTTAGTAGAAACAGAGCACTTAAATATCTTTCCTGCGTTTGATGCAAAAAAAAAAAAAAAATAGAAAAAGAGAAGAAAATGTGCGGAAACAATCTTAACGTGAGATTCGAAGAAACGGCGGTGTGGCGTTGCAGGATATTTAAAATAATTAAATGCCAATGCATGTCGTTAAAATAAACAGATTCGTCTTCATGATTGCACAGGGACTTTTGCCGCGCCACGTCATTTTACACAGGTCTCTCTCTCTCTCTCTCTCTCTCTCTCATTTCTCGCTTTGCATTAATATTCATACGAAGAATGATGCGTCCGGTATTAAAGCGCGCTCGTGAATGATTAGGAGCGTCATTCCGTGGAGAGTTCGCTTCGTCTTTGCGAACATTGCTCAAGAGTCACCTATCCAATTAGATCGTTCTGATGTGTTTAATGAGACACCCGGTGTCGATATGTCAACCCTCCGACGAATCCACAGGACGTTTCAAAAGCAGCGAAATTGTGATCCTTCGTAAGTGTCGATGTAACGCGAGATACAACTTTATTATAGACTGAAATAGGAATTAATTGAAGACACAATACGTATCTTGAATCTCTTTTAAAGAATAAATCTTAAATGTTATCGTAAGAATTTTAATGCAAAACAAAACGATAAGATTTTATCGCAAGAAACAACTCCCACTTTGATTTAAATCTTCATTATTATATTATCTCAAGCCTAACAACTAGTAACAATATGAGTTATGCTCTGTAATAATAAATAATATCAAATAAATATTACATAAACTTAGATAAATAATGTAACTGTTAATTATAAATATTATTTACCGATTTTTTTATTAGTATCAACGAAATATATACATATATAGTTGAAACAATCTGTAGGAGGGCACTTTACCAGCTTTACCTTAACCCACGTGGAAAAATATATAAAACCCACGCGCACTTACTTATCATGCATGCATGCGTACATAGTTATGGACCTTTCAGTGTGTGGTGGTTCAATATATCTGTGAAAAATCGGGCGGAGTGACACACGCGGAGGAGCACACGTTCCCGAGATATTCATTCGAGATAGGATTGGTGTCTCGGCAACCTCCCGGCCAGTATGGGCGTATTATAAAGCTTGCGAGAGAGAGAGAGAGAGAGAGAGAGAGAGAGAGAGAGAGAGAGAGAGAGAGAGAGAGAGCCTGATTTCGTTCCGCCTCGGGCAGAGGATGCCGAGCGCGCTCCTCTTCTCGCGGGACGCGTCGCGTCGCCAAGCGCGATTAATTAAGCGACAAGCTGTCCCACGTGTAACGGACGACGTGTGGGGTGGGGCTCCTGTGGTTACTCGCTCGCTCGCGAATTCAATTACCCGACGATTTATCTGCCGATAGCCATGAGGTCGTGGAAATGTGAATCATCGTAACGCTACGCGACACGGACGCACGCACGTTCACGTTTCAAGAACGAACGCGTCTCGTCGTTCTTATAGAAAAAATTCCAACTCGTCTTTTTATCAATTTCGTTATATTACAAGTGATCCGCGAATGTGTATACATATATATTGATATAAGAAAGAAAGAAAACTTTGAATCAATCAGTTTTCTGAGCTTCCACCTATCAAAGCGATAATATTTTGAAACGTCGTTCATTCCGACTGTTCACTATTCGGCATTACGAAAATCTCTCATTGTCAGTAACGAAACTTTCTTTAAACCTTCCCGAATTCTCTATATGACTGTGTCCGTTTTATCTTAACTCGACTTGAATAATATTTAAGCTTATCACGCTTTTAGAGCTCTTATCCTAATTTTCCAGTCGTAATCGCGCAATTGATTATTCCGCGAATAATTGAACTCTCTCGCCTACTCCTCTCTTTCTTTTTCTCTCGTTTCCTTACCGCCGAGAAATTCGATACTCCGTATCGCCTCGTCGTATCTAAATGCATTCCGTTCGCCGGACGGTTGCTGTATATATCCTCGCCGGCACGAAGGAATAATCCCGTGGGAGATCCGAACGAGTTCGCCGGCGTTTTAAGCCGGAGAAAACTTTCATCCGGTTAACCGCGCGTAAAGCCAGCGCTTTGGTTTTCTATCCTCCGTGACGCGGAAAAAAAAAGACGGACGTAAACTTTTAAAAAACATTCCGATTTCGGAGTAAACAATGCAGTAAACGCGGCAATTGTAATAACCACAGTGCGTAATTGAAAGGTCTGTCCAGTTTAAATTAGTTTGACATTAACTGCATTTGATACGCACACATTACATCGTGAAACTGTATGACATACAAAATTCAGGGAGGAACGGCACGACGCGATGTACGTCTTTATGGCCGTTATCGCTTGGAGGACCCGAGAATCGGAGATTCCGAGAAGACGTTCCTCGTACGCGAATGATTAACGTTTCTCCGACCTCGCTCTTAAATTTTTGCGCGCGGAAAAGAATCCGGCGAATAAACGATCCGCTCGCTCGCTTTCTCCCCCCGTATCTCCGAGCGGCGGCGCATCGTTCGTCGTGCGCCGGCAGCTGATATCGGACTATTAGTATCGCCGATGGTACCACTATTAGTCCGAGCGATGGAGGCTCGCGTATCCCGGAGATGTTCCCTCTCGGAACGGGCGATCCTTTTTCCACGAGCCGTGTGCCGAGCCCGAGAGGCTATCAGCCTCGGTCCCGCATAAGGGCTTGGGATGTGTCTCGAGTTTGCTCGTATTCGTACGTGAGGGATCATTAATCGCGCCCCACTGGCATGGTTACATGGATTTTAGCTCTTCGATCGAGATCTAATCTCGAGATATCCTTTCTCGGCGCGAGCGCATCTATCTCCGCGCGCGAGGGAACGATCGCGCGGCGAGAGTATCCTCTTATCGCGCGCTTTAAGCACCACTTGGATTTTATTCCAATTACATCTCCGTACATTCTGTTGAAATTCACTGAAAATAACGTTAATGTAAAACCGACATTTTTTCACACGTGATGTAATGCGATACCGCGACATCGTTGCTCGATACAGTGGAAAGAGGGAAGAGCCGGAGCGATGTGGGGAGTTGACTAAATATCAGAATAACTGCAGAAATATATATATAGGCTGAGCGTATTGAGATTCATCGAGAGAATGAACAGCTATATTTGACTTAAGCTGTTTGCTCATCTGAACGCTGGCAGCCCAGTTTGGTTTACGGCGCGTTCTGATTATTCACGATTACTCAATTGGCCAAGTCTCATGTGTGTGTGTGTATATATAGAGAAGCTGAGCGACGGCATCAAAGCGAGAAATGCGGCGCGAATGCAACGCGAATACTCTGCGAGAAATTCGGAGAAGTTCAGCGAGCTGATGAGCGGATGAGCGAATCATGCCAGATGGTAGGATTAATTTCATTTGCGCGGAAATTCTCTGGGGGTGGATCTCCATCGGGGATTCCACATTTTTCGAGTACCTTGAAGACGACTGTGTTGCAAGTGAACGTTTTTAACGAATGCCCGTAAATATACATATTTATTCACGCAACCATTTCCCAAGTACCATCCGAAAATTAAAAATTTTCAATGCTCGTCATAACGAGTAAAAATTTTTCAGTAAGAATTTTTAATGAGATGTTTAACGAGCGTTCAATACGAGTAAATTTACCAAGTTGCGTAAAAAAAATTAAAATTTCATAAACGTTTACAAAAAGTCTTTCTTTGTAACGGTCGGGTAGCTTTCTCAGAATTATGTCGATATCTACAATCGTGCGTGCTATAAATTAGAAGTATCACGAGACGATTTGATAATCTGGCGTACGCTATATATAGCGGTCTACCTCACAGTAATAACTTGCGATATACAAGAAGCTAACCAGGTGTTAACCGCAGCGCAGGAAGCTCGCAGGAGGCTGCGAGGAGTCGCCGGTCTCGCAGACGCGATCGATTACCCCTCCCTGTGCCAGAGAGCGAGAAGAGTCCGTCGCTTTTTCCCAGCCGGTCGTTGCGCCCCGGTATGGATTAATGTAACGTAGGTAATGGCTCATTAACGAGAGCACGTTCCGACGCGTCCGAGTAAGCCGTAAGAGCCGCGCACTCGACCTTTGGGCCGCTATATAAATCTCAGGTCTGGTTTGCTCGCGCATTCCGCGATACGTCGCTTATACAGGGTGTTCCGAGCTTCCTTTCGCTCCCTTGTTCGAAGACTTTTGTCTTGGAAACATTTGATCTAACGACACCTCTGTAGACTTACAATTAGATCTCTATTCTGTAATTTTTGACGATCATATCAGTATCGTTATATTGTCGTTATGTAGTTTTTTTATTATATATATAATACCTGCGCAAAATGATAATAAAACGATATACTGATATTGTCGTTAAGAGTTACCGAATAAGGACCTCAAACTTAAAATAACTGCGCGACCTGTCGTCAAATTCAAATATTTGCTAAAATATATTTCCTTGGTGGTGTAGAAAATAAATTTTGACAAAATAAATATGATTTTAAAAAAATTTAACAAAAAATACAAAGATTTCCGATAGTTTTAAAATACAGGTCAGCGACAATTTGATACTTTTATCGAGGAAACATCGACGGTTTATACGGATCGGTCGGCAGAAGCGTGGCAATATTATCGGCTCACCCTGTGCACGTATACTAGATCGGGGGTATCGTGCTCGATTTACTCGCTTCAATCATCGGACGCGCGTACTTCCCAGGCGAGCCACGGGAAAAACGCGGGACTTCTGTATATTGCGCGTCCGGTAGTAGACCGGAGGCTTCATCGGTTACCGGGAGACCGGCGCGTTAATTACTTTCGTGTTTCAGGGTGTGCAAACACGCGGCTGGATACGCGCTATTCACCGTGGGCGTGTGCGAAACGAGCAGACACCTCGGTTAGCATCGAACATTCTCCGCTCTTTCCTTTCACTTCCGCGGACGGTTCACGTTATCTTTAACCCTCTTACGCGTTTCGAGATTATTTCTAGATAATACTGATAATGCTGAAATATCCAAATGGATTCGTATACATATATATTCATGCTCAGTACCACGTGGATATAACATGCAGATTTACATTTTAAAAGCTACGCGAGTACTCGTTAGATCGAATCCAATTTTCTCTGTCTGAAAGCGAGTTTGATAGCTCGATAAGTTTTTTTTTGAAACAGAAAACTTATTTTGTATTCACTACTTTGTATTGCTCACATCCTCTTTATATTTCACCACTAAGTAAATAAAAGCCAGGATTGGTGCATTTTCATAATAAAATGTCGAACATCTATAAATTAGAACTAGAGAACCGGGTGACGACATTTAACTCGCTAAATGTCAGACTCCTAACTTACTTATACTTTTCAAAATACGATTCTATATCGAGAAAAGATATTCATCTTGTTCATCAGATGTTCTGGTTTAGATGAAAATAGATCGAAATTCAGAAATATTAATGTTTATACTTACCGTTATCCCAAGCGGCTTCCTTAGTCCTAAGTAATGCTGCCAGTCCGATGTTATCTTTGGGCATAACACGATTTAACATGTTGTCCGAACCCTCTGCGTTCGCCATTGCCAATTGATTGAATTCAACTAAATGCTCCTTTATCAAAGAAAATCTGTAAAAGAAGACGAAAAGAACAGATGTAAAAAAAGATACAAAATTGGATTACACATCTTGATATATTTGAAAAATTAAATGTATTCGAAAAAGAAAGTGAGCTATGTTCGAATAAATCTGAATATACGAGAAGAGCATCAGTAGACTCAAACAGCAGAGATAATTCAGGATTAAAGTTTGATTCGGTCTCGCCTATACGGTCGTCGCATCGAAGATCGCAGTGCATCGATTGGCATTTGCAGGGTCGAGTCGCGACGGGAAAGGAATTCCCGGTGCTCCTTCAATCGGTCGTCCCGGTAAATGACCGACGGGACTCAATTTCGTCCGGTGAAAAACGTAGAGGAACTTGACGCTTGCGCGCGCGATACGACTCGGATACGACGGGACGGCGACATCATCGTCCTCCGGTGTAGGGCGATTTTCGTCGCAGCCGGAGGACTCGTGAGCGAGGCGTATCACGTACGCGATGTAGAATACCCGGACTTCCTTTTCTTTCTCTCTCCCCTCCTCCTCCACTCCCTTGGCTTCTCCGCGGCGCACGGCCGATATGTAAGGCACGTATGCTTGAGAAATATATTCTTCTCCGAAGGCCCATTATACGAGCTATCATCCCCCTCCGCCCGCGACCAGGCTCTCCTCGCTCGTAAACAAGATTGAATCAACGTCATCTGCAGTGTCGCTCAAGGGAGAAGAAAGAGGATTTGGTAAGGACTGGCCAAAAATAAGAAAGAGGGTTGACGGCGGAAATCCCAAATGCGTAATTGACTTTTCCCCGCTGTCGGAAACAGACTCGTTTTCGGCTCGTTATTGAAATTGAAAGGACGTCACTTTAATGTAAATATCGCGAAAGCTTAAGGAAGGATTTTGTACAATTAAAATGTGTGATTATGATTAAAAAAATAATCTACTCTCTAAAAGTGAATCAGTGGAATCATAACTGATTTTCAGTGTACATATCATTTTCCAGTGGCATATTTAGAACTACTGATAAACAGTGATTTCATGTTGTTTCGGTGATAATATACTCATTCAAATAATGAATATCAGTATCTGAAAGACAGTAAATTTCAGTTCTCAAAACTGTTTGACAGTGAAACTCGCTATCTTGCAGTGTTATTCACTGTTAATTGAATCAGTATATTATCATTGAAACAATATTGAAATAGTCATTGCTTTAATAATAATTTTAAATAATAGTTTGTGCAACTTATATATGAGTTTTTTCTCACATTCCAACACAACATTGCATATACAGCGCGGTAGGAAAATATGTATCGTTTAACGGTTTGCAGAATTTTAATAACGAATTTTGTTGCCGCGCGAACATTAAAGTTCCTTCCTCTTTGCCCTCGATCTTCCTTTTTTTTCTTTAAACGGCACTTCGACATTACGCTGTATAACCTGCGACGAGGCAATAAAGCCGGGAATGATCGAGGGGCGAGCGCCGAAGGCGGAAATTGAATGCGAGTTGAACTTTACGCTCATCGCGTGAACGCTGATTTGGTTCGGTCGATTTGGTCGCGTTGTGCAGCCGGATTGAAATCGACGACCGCATCTTTGCGAGCCGTAAAAGCGACCGTAAGCTCCTCTTTTTTCTTTCTCTTTTTCACCTTCGGCCGGTCAAGTTCAGCGAGACGGAGACGAGGAAGGAGATAAAGCGGAGTTCCATGCGAGTCGCGCGGCAAGTCTCTCCGCGCAGTAGTACGAATCGTTTTTGGTCAGGCCGACGCGGCAATTGCCATTCGATCGCGAATTTCGATGTGCATGGCGATGATTTTTTGCAGCTTTCATGCCAAATTATACGGAATATCATTAATAACATCTATCTTAATAAATAAAATATTTGTATAAATAAAATATTAGAAGAGATACTTTTACATTCAAGGCACTTTTATACACGATGCGTTGAATAATTTTGCTGAACTGCACGAAACTTTTGTTCCAATATTTTCGAGTTACGAGCCTCTCCTCCTAAACTAACCGAACACACGGTGTTTAATACTGCAAACGATGCGGTGGTTAAAACGACTTGCATCCTGCCGTAGAACGTTTAACGAGCGCGATGGAGGGAGGGGCACGTTCGCCGCCATCGACCTTAATATTGTCACGCAGAGAGACATTTAGTCCGCCTATTTACGACAACGGGTTATAAAGGGAACCGTTACGCGCGACGTATGTATACGGGCGCATTAATCGCCTCGTCTCGATGGCCCCGGGGCCGGCACTGCGAATGCGATATCGCGAGCGAGACCTGCCATTAATGCCGCGAGATACTCTGAAAATAAGCATTAGTCGAAATAGATATCTCGAGCAGAGGAGCGGCCGGGTCTGTGATGATTAATGCGTCATAGACAATGTGCACGTGCAGCTGGGACGGCCCGGTCGATGGCCATCGCAAAGGCAATTTGTGCGTATCGATGCAGTAACACGCGCGGCGATATCGAAATCAGGTTCATTGGAAATCGGAACTGTGTCGCGTCTGTTCACGACGTGCAAGGGGAAATGCGCACGAAATTGTCAGATTCTCCTCGTTTTTCCCCCGAGGAGAAATTGTCCCTGAGTAATGACTGAGAAAGTCTGCTGGATATCCGGTAAAGCTATCCGGAAGTTTTGAACTTATTCTTAAAATCTTAGTTCTTTTACGATATATATAAATTTCGAGCTGTAATTGGATTTATTCCTTTTATTCACGCTTCTTTAATATGATTCATTTGTCTTGATTTCTCGCCATTATTGTTATTATTATTATTATTATTGTTATTTCTCTCTTGCGAATTGATTTTGAAGACTTACATGGCTCCGAGCTCCTCTCGAGCGCGGATATTATTTTCGCGATGGAGGGGATCTCATCGATTTCCGGTTAATTTGTTCGTCGAATACGAGAAAATGCTCGCTCGCGAAAGCGACGCGCTTTTCTATTAAACACAGACGGCGATTTACGACGCGGCGTTACTATCTGACGCGATATTGGATTACCATGACGTTATTACACGCCAGACACGCGCACGACGCTTTGTTAAATTACGAGCGGATACATCTTTCATCCCGTTCGGAATTAAATGTCGCGCTTTGGGAGGCCTCCGCTGTTTTCAGTATCGAAGCGGTGATAAGCGGCTCTATAATTGATTCCGCAAAGGCGGTAACGATAATCTTTGACACAAAAATTGAATATCGAATCTCGTGGAATCTCGTGAAAAACGATAACGTTGTATAATTAAAAAATTGTTTCCCCACCGGTTGATTTTTATATCAAAGCAAGCGAGGCGCTCGCATGCCAAGCATTTCACATTCAAATTGTCACTTGTCGACCATATTTCTTCTAAAATGAAAAATATAAATGTGGAGATGGAATTGGACGCATATATTGGTATAATATATCATGAAAGACAAAATTATATATCGGGGTAATAAACTATTTCAAAAATCAATCGACTATTAACATTTTACTGCTTTGCTTTCGCCGTAATATATTTTACGTGTGTTGTGATACTATCGATTTGATCTTTTGAGAACTTTCACGGCGCATTTACTCGCGAAGCATTCTCAATTGCCCGTGATCGATAACTGTATTACATCGGACAGCGTTTTCTGCTGTGCGCCGTCCTGCGTTTATTAATTAAATTACCACGCCTCTTAATAAATCGAAGGATCGCCGGAGCGTCTAGACTATCGATAATCATTTTTCTTTTTCTCCGGCCAGCCAATTAGAACGCTCAGCGCAATAGGAAAATATGCAAAGGAAAATGACAAATTAACGCGATATCCTTTCACGTTGCAAGACTGTAAGTGACATAAAAATTCTCTCGCGTGTAGCGATTCTCAATTGTCCGCAAATTAAATCGCTTTGTAACGATCATCTGTCTCGACTGTCGACATTCGTTTATTTATACCACGATATTGTAGAACTTATATTTCTCTTTAGTCCGCTATAAAAATAATTGTAGAAAATTACAAGAGGAAAGTTTGCTAGAAATATCTTAAAGATATCGCTGAAGAAGAAAAACAGAGTATAAAAATAAATATTTCTACCCTCAGGCTTCTATATTAGCAGACGCTATGCCATACACGTTTACTCGTGGTACATTGAACTTTCCGACTTCGATGCGGGGAGGGGGAGGAAGGGAGAAAAGCTAACGCGATAAATCGTGAACTTTCCGTCTAATATAAATACCAATCCGTTTCAAGTGACGCTTATGACCGAGGGCTGCGTTCGCCGCAGCCCATATTTACGACCCGCGTCCGCCGTTTTCGTCTGTCACGTAATGCATTATATCGTCGCAACGACGCGAAAATCGAGAGATACAGGGGAATGCACTTACTTGGCGGTCCTGTAAAAAATGGCGCAACCGTCGACGTACTTGCGGTCGTTCTCCGCCATCGTCTTCGCGCGGGACTTGGGTGAGAATATGCCGTCGTAGCCGTCGTGCTTGAGCTCCGGCAGGAAGAAGTTGTAGAATTGGTCCGTCTGGACCTCCTGCAGGCTGATGATGTCCGCGGCGTAGTGCCGTATCTCGTCGAGGATACCCTTCTTCCGGTACTCCCAGTCCAGCGCCCAGCTCGGGCAGTAGCCGTACATCTGCCGCGTCGCGTACTTGGCGCACAGCACGTTGTAGCACATCACCGTGAATATACCTGCGACAGTCAAACGGAAACATATATCCCCGCATATAACTCTTTCCAAAGATACAAATATGTGTGTGTATGTAACGGTATACAGAAAATCCCGGAGAGATCAATCGCCTGACGTATCTTCGCCATTTGGCGGATGAAAGGATAAATCTGTCGCGTGTATTTCTCCCACATGCATCCTCCCTTCTTCCACACGTTCCGGGAATGTTATTCCGTTTCTCGCTCGCAGACCTCGAATACGACGCTCTTGAACGTTCCACGACGATCGTTTTCGTTGCGACGCGAATAATAACGGAGGGGGCTTTGATTTACTCCGCCCGGGTCGATGCGCTCGTTTCTTTCGCCGTCCTGATTCCGCGGCTTTATGCCTCGGTTCGTAAGCCGTTCCATTTTCCTCGAGCTCTCCCGTCTTCCGATTCCTACCCGTTTCCACGTGCCCGTAAACGCGATACATGTTGCACGCTTAGACTCGTTTGTTCGCTACTCGCTCGCACGCGCGCGCGCGCGCGCACGGATTCTCACGGCTCGGGATAAGAGGATCAGCATAAAGCGAGCTGTCTTGCCAACGTCGCCCGGCTGTCTGCATAAATTCCCGACGTCTCCTCTTTCTCCGCCGATGCGCTTTACTTAGCCTCGGTGCGAGTTATCCGCGGCGCGCAATATAATACCGTGATTAGAGCAAACGCACGAGAGTGTGAATTGGACGAAGCGCGACGCCGACGTCGCATTGCGCATCGAAATGCGTCTCTTCCCTCGTCATTCGGCACATTTACGACTCGAGAAATGGCGGCCGTTTCTGCTGCCTCTCGTTTCATTTTCAGACGCGCGTCCTACCGCCTGTGAGAAACGCGCGCGCTCCGCGCAGCGTTATACTATCGATCCGGTTTGTTAACAGGTCAATCTTTCCGCTCATGGCACTAATTGCCGAACCTCCTCTCGCTTAATACCCTCGGGATATTGGGCGGCGGGGGTGCGATCTCGGGGCGCTTCGATGCCCTCGAAGAACACATCTCCCGTCGATACGCTGGAACTAATTTGAACGCGGCCCGGGCGATAGACGGCCGGAGCTAAACCAGTAAATCAGCGGTTCTATTACCGCGAATACGATCGCCGCCGTGCAGAGTGGAAGAGGGAGACAGAGAAAGGGAACGAGAGACAGAGAGAGAGAGAGAGAGAGAGAGAGAAAGCAAGTGTAAATAATTGAGCCACGGTATCCGCCGCAATCCAATAACGCGTACGCGAACTCCGCTACGAGAGTAGCTCGCGATATCGCAGCCGCCGCCGCCGCCGCCGCCGGCGAGGAGAGAGACGGTTAAGGTATCGGCATCTCGGATTCGCCCCAAACCGCTGTTATACCAAAACGCCATTAATCATTCAACCGAACGCGAATTCGCTTCTTCGACCAGCGGCTCAGGAAACACCGATCCTTTTTCCCCTTCACTGCAAGCAGCACAATATATGACTAATCTTTTTTTTCTTATGTCTTCTACATATGTCTAATGAGATACCTAAGATTATTATTTCCTCTCAGTTTTTATCAGCGCCAAAGCAAGATACGAAACGTAAGATAACGTAAAATGTGAGACAACACTAATTGCGTATTGGACGCAGGGGCGGGGCGCGCGAGGGCTTTTAATCTTTAATTATCTGTTGCCCGACGGACGGACGCGGCAATAAACCCGGCCGATAGGCCAACTTTTTTCCCCTTTTTAATTTGGTTTCCTCCTGATAAATACGATCGTTAACGATACGGCGATTTGTTTCCCTCGAGCCCCGCGTTCGTTCTCGAGGGATTGTTAACACGACTATCTCGACGAGTCCTTCCGCCAACTAAGTCGGTGATCATCTTAAGAGGGATTATTCTGGCTCGATCTTGCGTGAGATATGCGTCGTTAATGGGCACCCCGCCGTTATCCCTCCGTGCTCCTTAGATGAAGACAACGACGCATATACATTGGATTCGAGGATCGGTTTTATCGCTCGCGACGTGATAAGAAAGATGATAGTTAGCTTCTATCGTGAAACTTTTTTGTTTACTATTTTATCGGAACTCTCGCATGTCCATAACACTAGAAAAATTTCTTAACACACTCTCTTCATTCTCTTTATCCCCTCGGTAAAATATTGTTCTTAGTGTTTTAAATATTTAAAATGTAAAATTATGTGAAAATGCAACGATGAGTAAAATAGTCAAATAAAATATTTAAAAAATGTGTATTTTTTGCTTTTTTCTCTCTTTTCTTCCTCATCTTTCCTTTACTTTTCTCGTTAATTTTAAAAGATATTTTGTTCAAATCTTCGATCTTAACATTTTGTGCAATTATGATATCGATGAACCGTATGTATCTTTGCAGATATTTTTCTTTCGGCGAAAGTTTTGGAGAGGATTAGCCTAATCCACGGTTTACCAGTCCAAACTGATAATAACCAAAGTTACCGAATAGTTATAGTATACATCGTTACGATCTACGATCATGTCCCCGAGGTAGCGAAACCTGATCACTTCTTGAAGTACGGCACATTTATTGGGAACGAACTAAGTCAAACAAGCTCAAGTTTCGCCGACCAATATTAATTATATATATACATATACATATATATATATATATATATTCACGCTTCTACATCCGGCTTGCATCTAAACAGATATAGTACTTGCAGTATCGTCTGCTGGGATAAATGCTGTTACATTGAGGAAGCAATACAGCGAATTTCGGTAATATTTCTTTGGTTCAAGTTACCTACGTTTACATTTCAATGAAGAGAACATTTAATCTATTCTAACAACTTTAGTTACCTAATTAATTCTCCGACTAAATGTTTTACGAGCGTCTACTGTTTGATCAAAAAATGGAAAAATTTCTTCATGAAAAAATTTCCATAAGTTTCCACTTTCAAATACGATCGTTTGATTAAGACTTCCAATTTTCGTTATCAACTCTCGGACGATAATGAGGTGAATATTCAGTGGTTAGCGAAACTTGTGCCGCAACTGTAAAAATGTTTTGCGAGTGCGTGCGGGACGAACTTGCCGGCACGACAAGGTATTCCGCAAGACGTAAGCTAAAGTTCGACGGACACGGTCGGGGCTCGGGGCATAGTCGGCAGCCGGCAGCCAACCTGTTAATCACTTTAATCTGCGAAGTGTTTTAGCAGCTCGGAGGAATATGCTCGAAGGAACACTTCCCGAACTTCGGCCAAAGTGGCAGGTACTGCAGGCAGACGACCCGTTGTAGTAAATGCTCATACACGTTGCGAATTCGCGTTGAGATAAAAGGGCTAATTACGCCATGGCAAAAGAAGCTTTTACTACAGATCTATAAGGAAAAGCCATCCAGGAACTATAATTTTCATATTCACGGGAGATCAGATATCAGCTGCCTGTTTAAACACCTGCTTAATTTGGCATTAATTTCATGCCGCGCAATATTGTAACAATAAAAGAAAAGCAACTAATAAGTTACTATCGAGATAAACCGTTATCTCATGAGCGAGCAAAATATTCTTTTGCCGCACAGCTGCGAAGTACGCGATGCGTGAGAGCCGCAAGTTAATTAGAATCTAAAAGGGGGATTGAGGGAATAAGAAAACTGCATTCGTATACAGTATCTGAAGTAATAAGGGAAGTGCGATTTTATACTTTATGTCGGCGCACAAGTGGCTAACGTGGTAGAAGGCGACGGCAGTCAATGGCAGAGCGTGCGAGCGGTGGTCCATTCACGGACTAGGCATCCTCTCCGAGGTCAACGATGCCGCGCCGGAGCCGCGACCTGCCTCAAGAGTCGCCAAACCAGTCCACGAAGAGAAGATCCGAACAGGTTACCTAATTTACACACGCCAGGGAGGCCGCCGCGCTTGGTTCTCGCGTGCCACGCGAGGCATGGCTCTCGCACCGGCTGCCTCGCTCAACAAACGACCGAAGTAGATAGCTTGAGGATTAATAAATTAGCAGCATCGACATCAGCGTCGTATTTTCTAGGCGATCGCTTTCAAGGCGCGTCGGAAAACTCGAGTCGAGTCGAAAGGCGCCGGAAGCTCGCGTTGCGAACCTACGAAATATTTTATAAAACGCGACGCGCGTCGTCTCGTGTGCTGCGAGCTGAGCCGAAATTTCCGTGCGGGGATCAACTCCGCGAAGATCCCCGCGACGATAAATAACCGACTTTGCGGCGCAACAAACCCGTGCAGCTGTACACGCCGAAATAGTTGGCTCGTAAATCGGTATTACCGCGAATCTCCAGTCCGCAGCGGCGGGATATTTACAACGTAAAAATCTGCCCGCGCGAGTAATTGGCCGACTGGAAGTCGAAATTCAAGAGCCCGACCTGGTTTTGCGCGCCTGGTTTGCGGTAACCGGAGTTATTCGTAGATCGAAACGCCGCCCGACCGACTTTGCGAATGTATAAACGCGGCGTGCCTCGCGGAAATGCAACGATATAAATCGACGGAAAGGGAGTTCGCATCTGAACGTAACATTCGAGGAAAGTAGCACACATTTCTATGCAACATCGCGAAATACGAACGTATCTATTTTTTTTTTTAACACTCGTATATACGCTTTACGTTGCAATATACATTACGACTGCTGAAAACGTTTTTACAATACTGATAAAAATTTTGTAGTAAATAAATTTTACTGCTCGCTTCGCGCTATAATGTAAATTCAATAACGCCTAATAACAGTATTTATGAATTATAGTATTTATTAATAAAAAAATTTATCAATAATTAGAAATATTCTTTTACAAATACTTTCGTATTTTCGCGGTGCTATTTTTAGCTTAATGAAAGCGCGCTAGTTAACTATATATATATACGCACCTCAGAGCCTTGTTCCAGAATCTAAATGATCTAAATGAATACGAGTGAGCGCCATTATTTCATTACTTATCGTTGTAGATCAGGATAATCGCGGTAATTAAGTAACAGGCAACGACGATGATCTTCCGGCGAGGCGATAGTAATGGCCGGCCCCTCGCGCGATATTAACTAACAAACGCGCGGCAAACCCGCTCGCCCGTGTAACGCCGCGCGGCCGCATCGACGCGGCGATGACGGTAATAATCGCGACAAAAGCGGCAACGGCGATGATTACCGCGCGCCACAGCAATAACGATTTCTAATAAGAATATAATCGCGCGCGCGCAAGCAGTTACAAGCGTCGGAATGATAATGGCGCGTAATTGCTCCGTGTCCCGCAGAACCCGACCCGGCCATGTACGGGGCCACCGTAATGAGTATGATTGTGAGGGTCGTCGCGGAGGTGCAAGGAGTAATTTGCACGGGGCCAGTCCGGCTGCCGTCAGGGGCCCCGGCATCGCGCCAACTTTGCGCGACGTGCGAGATGTGGTGTTTTCAGGATTACGCTCGTCCCTTCGGATGGTACATGAGATAACGAATCGAGAAATCGATGAAATGACATTCGAATTATCTCCAGTGGATTTTTTAAAAATAAATTCACGAAGAAAATAATTCTTTCTTGCGCTTAGGAATGTTCACGATCGAGTAAATTTATTCTCTGCGCAAAGGAAGATGAGATACGATCAGTCGAGAGTTCGCTGTCCGAAAATTAAAATTCACACCGGCCATGAACTGGTACGGTCAATGCTGCGGGTCAATGATGGGAACCACACACGTTCCCCATCGTCGGAGCGACGGGGATTCCGCGCGTTCCGGAACGCGTACACGAGGATAATTCTCGTCGAGGGGTCCTGTGGCATAACAGTGGTGATGACGGGCGGCGAAGAGACCTACCACCCCGTGCGTGTTAGAGCGGAATCGCGTAACGTGCGCGCGGCGCGTCCGGTCGCCACGATAATTGCGGCGTTCTCGGTGAAATTGGTTTTAAGCGTTCGCACACGCGTAATTCCTAAATTGCCACGTTCGTAAGGCGGCAGCTCTCACCGAACGCGGCGTGCGCATTGAGCGATTACCCAGCCACCAACGGCGTTGCAGCGCGATTTCGCACGATTCTCCCTTTCTTTCTCTTTCTGCTAGCATATAACCGTGGTACGTAATGCTCAATCACGATCGTTTACTAATAATATGCGTTTTAATTCAACATATCCTTTACCGGATTTTTCGTGGAACAAGGATAAAATGTACAAGGTGAAGTACAACTATCAGCAGGGATTGTCGATTTGACATTAAATTCCTTTTGATGGTAATTCAACGATGATTTAATAGCGAAATTATTTGACACTGAAGAATTGTGGATCTGCGGCGTACTTTATAATTTATTATTAAAATTGTAATTTGTTGTTACGATTATTAGGTAAAATTTATATTATTCTATTTATTTTAAATTTTATTATAATATTCGCCACAAATATAATTTTCTTATATTTATGATATTAATGTAACTGTCGCATAACATTCGTATTATAAATTACGATTTTCTACATAGCTGCAGTTAAAGAAACATTACACTCGTTTAATCCCTGCTATTAAATAAATCGTCTATTAATTGAACTTTAATCTAAATCATAATCTAGAATGGAATTTTCGATTCTACGAGAAGATCGTCTTTAAATTCATCGGGAAGTGCGTTTCCGTTGTTGATTGCCGCAATTTACGATACACCCTGTACGTGAGATTCTCTCGCGGGAATTACGACGAGCGCGTTTTAGAAGACTGGCAGTAAGCATCTGTGTAATTTATCCGGAATTTAATAGCCCGCTTCGTTTCTTTTTTCCCTTTGAAATAAAATGTAATGTTTTCAGGTAAAGTCAGCGATACGCCAAATCATTCGCCATTTCCCGCTTTAGTGCTTCTCTAAATTATTGATAAATCACTACTTACCGTACGTACACGCGATCGAAACTAGCAATTTAACAGCCAGAAGCAAATATTATGCCCGCGGGGGGAATAGCTATGCACATATCGTAAACATTTATGTTATCAATTATAACTTTTTTCGCAAATTAAATACAATTTTCTGCATTTGTGTGCGACATAAAAGATCGTAAACTGAGATTAAGTGCAAAATCAAGTCTAGTCATTATTTGTAGCGTAATCAGGAAAAAACAAGTTTAATCATCATTTATAATCAGGGATATCGTTAGGAATATAATTAGGAAAGCAGGGACTCTACGAGTTACAAACCCAAGAGAGGTACTTTCCTAATCTTCTGCTTTCTAAAATAAAAAAAAGGACGAAAAAACCAAGAAAACGTATACTAGTAATGCGAGTGTCAATCGCGAGTTTTCTGAAGAGCAATACAATAGACATCTGCATATGCGTGCAAACGGTATAACTAATCAGCGACCGTTGTAAGTATAATGGGCCTTCTCGTAAATAATGAATAGCGTAAACCGTAGCGAAATGATTTATCGCGTCCAGCGCGAGCCGACAATGGCTTCCTTTTGGACGGCGCGGCAGACCAGCCAGCTAGCCAGCTAGCCAGCCAGCCAGGCCAACCAACCAGCCAGCCGTTTGTACCTCACTCCGCCGGTGCGCGTTTTCTCTCCCTCTTTCACCCTCTTCCTGCTACCTCGACCGCCGCCGCCGTGCCCGTGTCGTGCAATAAATCTGTCCAGATGGTGCGGTATACAGCCGTCGGCGGCGGCGGCGGCGGGATGCGGCGCGACGCGGCACCGCGCGCTCCGGGGCTGCGAAACTCGTCGGCGTTGACCGATGGTCAAGGTGCCACCATCGTCCGCACCCGGGATACGGGTTAAGGCGAATTTACGCGGTTCACCCTGGGCGATATCGCGTCGCGCAAGCCCCTTTCTTCGAGAAACTGGGGATTAACACAGACTCTTGTGAGATTTCTATAATTCTTCAATGAATTTCTTCTTCTTCTTCTTTAATGAATTTGATTATATTTTTTTTACTTTTTTCTACTTTTGAAACGGGTATATCGCAATCGCGTCTTACGTTTTTCAGTAATTCGATCACGAAACGAGCATAGTTACTGACTCGTACAGGCATAAACGCGACTCGACGTCGAGTTTTAAGTAACGACTCAAGTAACGGGGAAGTTCAATATCGCAGCGCGAGGGAAGGCAGGCGCCGCGTGGCCTTTAGTGCGTGAATTTATTACGCTGCTGGACGTAAATTGTAATTTGTTTTACGTCGCGCATTCGCCGCGCACTCGTCATATTTTGACTCGCCATGTGCGATTGTCACAGCGGCGTATTATTCACTATCAGCCGTATGTTTTCCCATACGTTATCTTCGGGCTCGCCGTGTTATTTTCCCGTCGCAACATGTGCGTGTGCATGCCGTTGTAAGCATATTACCATATTGATTCAGCGGCGCGCCCCGGCTCGCGCATCCTAACAAATGTACGATGGCGCGAAACGACGTTGATGAGTCCGTTAATGAAAACCTTACCGCCACGCTATAACGTGATCGCGAAGAAGATTAAGCGCGTTCGGATCTGCGATTGATGCTTCTGTAGATTAGGAGAAGACGGTACTTCGCATCGCAGTGTAATTACATAAATTAATTCATTATGGGAAATTTCCAACGTTAGAAAAAAAAAAGCGAAATTTTCTTCTATGACAAACGAGCTCATCGGTAGAGATAAAGAAACTTGTTTCATTTATTTATTTTATTCGCAGTGCGGAGAACAAGTTTTCGAATCTCATACGAGCGAATGAAAATAAATACTTACATGTTGGTCTCGTCCTATTGGGCCTCGTCAATGGAATCCACGGTCTCTGGGGCGGATGATTGGCCGTAACTGCAAAGCAAAAATGAAAACCGTCATTTAGTAACCGCACAAAATTAACGTTACATAAATTTAAAATTATTGGAATAAACGTCCAAGTTCATCTGGAATTTATTTCGCCCTAATCTTCTAATTTATCTTAGAAGTTCGCATCGATTTATTCCGGACTTTGTCAACAATCTGCCGAAGATGCAACTTCTGCGGGCTTACGAGCCCTCGTTTCTTTGGGTAAAGCAACGTTTTACCGTTCTAAGGGTAACCTAATTAAATGGCGAAGCAAAGATAGTGATGATCGCGGTTATTATAATCGCTAAATTGACGGTGCAAGGAGGAAAGTTGTGCAAGTCGCGCGCTCGTTAAAGTTCATTACATCCCGGTTCATTACGTATAATGGCGCACACTTACTGGGAAGCGCGCGGTCCGATAATTAAATCGTTTAACCGAATGTCACTTGCACGGGCCTCCGTGGCTATTAACAGGGTACGAGGCCAAGAAGTACGCGTGCACGTGAAACGCGAAGAGGAAAGAAGAACGCGCCGCATCGTCGCCTGTACGTGACAGCGGGTTTATACCGTGTGTCCTCGTGGCCTCATCTGACCACTTATCTCCGGGAGGACTAACGGAAGATGTTCTCGTAATTATTCAGCCGAATTTATCCGAATGTCATACAGAAGGAAAAACACCGTCACGTAAAGAAACGCGCGGACGTGGCTATTATTATATCGATTTAACATTTTAATATCGAAGGTTGAGATCTTTTTCGGAGCCAGTCAAGTTGCCTCAACATCATTCCCCTTCGTCAGTTTTTAACGACAAACCGCCGTTTGCCCGACACGCACCGCAAATGGGGAAGGGATACATAATACCGCGGTCGCCCGGTCGTGCGGTTAAGAGTCCTGTTTTAGCTTTCAGCGGTTAGCGTAAGTGTCGAAAGTCGTGCAAGAAGTGCTCTACAAAGCCTCCGCGAGCGGAACCTCACGTTACTTTCATCCTCAGTAATTGTTGTTGTCTTTGAAGCGTATTTTTGAAACGGCAAGACGTGCCTCGCCTGACCTTTTCCTTTTTCGGACACGCGATTCTTCTCGCGTAGAGCGGAACGGCGCGAAGGACGTGTGTCAGGCTGAGGTTTAATAATAAGAAAATAGGTCGACCTGTCGGACGCTTATGTTCGGCATTCTCGAGATTCCTCCTTGAAATATCCTCCAAGTTTCAAGAATAATCTCGTTGTTTCTGGACTACAGGAGAGTTATTTACGGCGCGGGGGAAGTTTCGCAATCTATTCGGTGGTCGCTGCGCGAAATCTTTCCGGGAGGAGAGAGATCTCTCGCCGATATTTCACCGAGGATCTGTTCGCAAATAACTCTTGGACATTTCTACTTTTTCCCCATTAAAATGGAATTATCTTTCGAGATAAGCTTTTCCTTATCGCTAAGAGAGTAATATTCAAATATGTACGAAATGCACACGTATATATTGATATAATATTCTGCGTAAAACGAAAAATTGATTTCAAGAGGAAACAAAGATAAAAAAAAAAATAGAAATGGAGCACTACATTAATTAATCAAAAAATAAAGAAAAACAAATGGAAACGACCGTGCTAATGTAAGTGTGAATGGGACTTTTTTTAAGAGGGAGAGGACATACGGGATGCATGTAAAGTAATGCCACGACGTTGCATATACATATAATGTAATAACACGTTTTCCGAATGCAGCGGAGCGTGAGCAATTTGCAGTCACTTTCCACTGATTATCGTCATTAAGTTGCCGTATTATCTCGCGTACGCGCGCGCGCGCGCGCGGATGACCAACTCAATCGCGCCGTGTCGTTCATCGAGATTAATCCAACGCTTTTCGAAGCTCGTAACACGTCGCGTTACAATCATGCGTGCCAATCATAGCGTCGCTGCCGCGGGCACGTAGGGATTAATCGGGACGGGAATAACTCGCGCGCGTTGAAAACGAGGTACCGAAACCGTTTCTCGTGCCGGGGCTTTCCCGCCGTCCATATAATCGAAACCCGGGGATTTCCGTGCGTGTTAAGTGTCAACGAAACGTTTCGCCGTTAAGCCTCAATTACCAGGGCGATTTTACTTAGTTCTGAAACGTGGATATCTGTTAAAGCGGCAGACGAAATGAAGAACCGACGTTTAATCTCTGTTTCACCGATATCTTCGTAATTTCACGCGCGGCTGTTTGCTTCTTACTACTCGTTATAATGGCAAAAATAAGACAACAGGAGTGAAGGAGGAAATGGAGTCCACGTTCTTCCCTAGAATCGATATCTTTGCACTTAACACGTTGGGAGAAAAAGTATAATATCCCAAATATGTATCTCTTTCCTTCTTTCCAGCCCCGCGGGATTTTCCGCTCGCACTTTGCCTCGTTTCAGGCAAGCTTGTCATTATCCGCGCAATATTTCGCACTCGGCGATAAGGGCGCGCTCGAGGAGAAATTCGGAGATCATCGTATCGGCGTATCGATCGATCCCGATAAAATATCTGCCCCGCGGCGGCAGAGAGAAACGGAGGCGGGACGGAGGTTGATACTCCGACGAGGGTCGCCGGCGAAGATCCTCGGCGAGTCTTGGTCTATCTCGACGCGCGGAGGGACGCGGGATAGAGAAAGAGGGAGACGAAGTGCGGCGGCAAAGGGTCGGGAGGGGCGAGAGCGGGAGATCGTAGAATTGAAACTGAGAATTCTATTTCGCTCCCTCGGGAGCCGCAGGCGAGAAGATAGAGATAGCGCCCCCGGGAGCATCGGTGGGATAATATAGGCGACATGCGAGAAAGGTGGAGAGAGAGAGAGAGAGAGAGAGAGAGAAAGGATGAGAAAGAGAGCCGCGCTCGGCATGCAAAGGGGCGTATTTCACGTCGCAGTTGACGTCGCGGCGATTTATTCGACGTTGTATTTCTGGCTTCAATGAATTTAAATGCGTAGAGCTTAGGACGAGGACGTCGCAGTACCTAAGAGCGCGGCTTGCTCCGTGAACGTTGATCCCGAGCCTCTCACGCACGCACGCACGTACGCGTGTACGCGCGCGCGCAAGGCGAGCGTTTTACACACAAAATTCGACCGTCACATCCGAAGTTCGCGACATTCTATCATTAATTGTATAGAATCCGCGACTTTAATATTCATGGTAGACTCTTGGCAGTCGCTTCTAAACGCACAGTGAGCGTAAGCCTCTTAGCAATGTGAATTATGAGATGGGTATCTGTTTAAAGTTGAGCCATCAACCCAGAGATCGTGAGATTGCATAATTACACATACGTATATTAATTTTCGCGGTGGATTCGCTCTTCCGGGACGGCTGCGATGACCGTAAGCTCCTTACAATGTGAATTATGAGACGCGCGCCAGTTTTCTACAGTTAATTCAAAGATAAAGTAAAAGACATATATATATTATATATATATAGATATACTGTATTTATTACGCACTAATGCGTACGAATGCGTAAGAGATATCTGGACGAGAAGTATAAGTCTCTGATTATGTCTCTTATAGACGCTGTTGATTGCAGTCAATCGCGCCGAATCCTTTTCGCACGGAAATCTCACGCCGCGCCGCGCCGCGCCGCGGCCAGGTCCATGAGAGAGGTAAGAAGCGCGACACGCGATTACAGCCGTACGTACAGAGCGGCGTAGGTATGCGCGGAAACAATTACGCGAGAGCCGTCCGTCGTCCGCATTCCGGGTCTTACAGACCCAATTAAGATCTCCCGTCGAGACGCGATACGCGAGACGGCCCTCGTAATTTCCCCGGTGCAACGTGTTCGAGCTTCTTCACTTCGTGTTCGCTTATCGCGCCGCGCCGGAGAGACCCTCCCGTCTGTCCCTTTCTCCCTTTACAACGCTCGTTTCCCTGGAACCTTCACGGCGCGGCGCCGTCATGGGAAGCGATCCGCGCTCTCTAAACTCGTTCGCCTTAATAATTAACGTCCCGCGGATTGAGACGTTCTCGGTTTCGCGAATTGACGTGCCGATTAACCGAAGAAAGAGGAGAGCCTCTAGACGACTAAGACGAACGGAGGTGCGGAGTTACGAAAGGAAGAACATGTAGCGTGTTTTTAGCTTGATTTTGAATTTTAAAACGACCAAATCGTTTATACATGAGACGTTTTTTCGAGTGAGACTTTATTATTAATTCAAAAAAACTCGAAAATTAAGTTTCACTTCTCTCGCTCTCTCTCTTTCTCTCACGCTTAAATATATAATAAAATACATAATATAATAAAAGAAAATAATTAATTAATGTAACATTTTATTTATCTAATCTCGGTTTCGTTAGTTTTTTTTAATAAAATAATCATGTCTCAAATAACTCGAATAAGGGTTAAGCCGAGGCTCAACCTCGACATTTCTAAAGCGCACTCATTCCACGACTTGAGAGAAGATTGTTGGAGCTATTACAGTCGCGACATTTTTAATTTATGCGCGCTTTTATTTTATTTAGGATGCATTTAATCTTCCTTCTCGAGTCTCTCCGCCGGTAGTACACGCGCGTATATTAAAATTTTCTTAATACCACGTCGCTGAAAATTTCGCAAAACAGTTTGCGGCCGCGTGTCCCCTTAATCTGGAAATTGCTCCATCATGACGCTTTTTATCAAGTCTGCGGAACCGTATAATTCAAGTGAAAATAAAGAGGAACGGCAGGACTAAATCTGCACGTCCGTTGCCGTGTACCCCGTTCCTGCCCCTCGCTCGTTTTATTGGAATTACAATTTTCGCCGCGCCCCGTATTTTCAATAATGTAATAGCTAAAATTAAAGCTTCCTCGGAGAGATCCATTCGCGATATTATTCCCTTTGATGTGGCTGAGCCGTGGAAAAAAAAATTTAATGTAATTACGGCGCTGTTTATTACTCGGCACACACAAAAGCATCGAAGTCGACACAATAATTCTCCGATACGGAGAAAGCCGATATTTTTTTATTTGACCTAGTTTGTCGTTCCCTTTTAAATTGAGTACCATCTTGAATTAAACGAGGATTGACCTAACGAT